TCATCGCCATCGATAAAACAGACGCAAGAGTTGGTCGTACCCAGGTCGATTCCGATTGTTTTGCCCATAGTATCTTATCCTCTCTGGCCTAAAAGCCGCCGTTCTAACATGGTCTATTGCGAGACGCCCCCGCCAAGCGCGCCCTCAGGTTGTAGCAACGCAGTCAAGCCTGTGCCTGGCTCGTCTCTCCGCCAAGGCCAGCGTCGACACTGGGCTCCTCGAAAGATGCGTCGTCCTGCTCGGTCGCGGCGTCCTCTTCGGGGGCTGGCGCATCCTCTTTAGGCGCAGACTCTGGCGTCGCCTCGGGCTCGACCTCGGCCTCTGGCTCGGGCTCGACCTCCGCGGGGGGAGGATCGATGCGCTTCGCCACGACGGTGAGCGCGGGACGCAGGAGCCTGTCATGGATGAAGTAGCCCTTCTGGAACTCCTGCATCACGACGTTGGTGTCGAACTCGGTCGTCTCGATCTGCTGGATCGCCTCGTGGCGTTGTGGATCAAACTTCTCACCGACAGACTCGAAGCTCTGGATGCCGTGCTTCTCGAGCGAGCTGATGAGTTGGCGATGCACCATGCGCACGCCGTCCGAGATCGAGGACTCCTCGGCAGTCTTCTCCGCGTGCTCGAGCGCGCGCTCGAGGTTGTCGACGGCGGGCAAAAGATCGGAGACGATCTTGTCCGAGCCGTACTTGCGGAGCTCTTCCTTCTCGCGCTCCTTGCGCTTGCGGAAGTTATCCATATCCGCAGCGCTCCTGAGCAAGCGCGCCTTGAGGTCATCGCGCTCGCGCTGGAGGCCGGTGATCTCTTCATCGTTCGCGCTCACGCGCTCCTCGAGCTCCGCGAGGCGGCGCTCGAGTTCTTCGATGCGCTCGTCCTTGGCGTCCTTGACAGGAGGCGCATCGAGCACCTCGATCACAGGCTTCGAGCCAGTCGCCTCGAAGACCTCGCCTTCGTCATCCTCGGGGCTCAAGAAGAGTGGATCCTCTTCCTCAGGCTCGGTGTTGACGGAGTCGTCGGTCTCGATCTCTGGCTCTTCATCTGCCGAGTCGGACTCTTCCGAATCCTCGTCGCCATCAGGGGTAGCCTCGGCGTCCACTTCAGGAGCCTCGACCTCTTCCTCGCTCCCGCTTTCTTCAGCGGGCTGCTCGACTTCTTCGGGATTGTTCACCACCTCCTCGGATGGCGTCTCCTCCTGAACCGCGTCTTCGTTCTGACTCAATGTCTCCTCCAAACAGAGCTCGGGTGATGCCTGTGTGGGCAAAATCGCCACGTCGCGGCATCTCTCATGGGTGAAGAGGGCAAAAGGGGTGTATTTCTCGCATTTCACGAGATAGAGGAATATCTCGACACCACTGATTTGCCTTACTTCATCTCGACGCCACAAACCTAGCGCGCTTGTCTATCTCTGGCAAGACGCAAGAAGGGCGCGTTCTGCGGCCATCTATCAGCCTGCCATGCGTCACTTATTCTGGTTCCCAAGGTAGCTCGAGAGCGCCAGCGCGGTCTGGTGAATCAGCGGCAAGATGCGCTCGTAGTCCACGCGAGATGGACCGATCACGCCGAGCAATCCGCTCGCTTCATCCTGCTGTCCGTAACCACAGACGATCAAGCTGACCTCATCGCCAAGTCCGAGCCCGAGATCGAGCTCCGGACCGAGCAACACCGTGGGGCGCTGCCCCTCGTCGAAACCATCGAGCAGCTCGAGGACCTGTTCCTTCTCCTCGAGGAGCTCGAGGAGATGTTTTAAACGCTCGGTGTCGGCGGTCAACTCATCGTAGTCGAAGACGTTGAACTTTCCCTCGACGACGACCTTGGGTTGCGTCGATTCGATGGCGCGCGCGCCGATCTCGAGCGCGAGCCGCACGAGCTCGTTTGCCTGGCGCGCCAGGACGAGCATCTCCCGGCGAACCTTCGTGCGCACCTCCTCGAGCGTCAACCCCAGGGCGAGCTCGGAGAGGTAGTCCTGGATGCGCTTTAACTGCGTGCGGTCGAGCTCCTGATTCATCGGGACGACCTGGTGGTAGACCCGCGCGTCACTCGCGACGAGGATGGCGAGGATGCGCCGCTCGGAGAGCGGCGAGAGGTGGATGTCTTCGAGTCGGATCGAGCCGAGGCTCGGGGTCGAGACGATGCTCGTCAGGCGCACCAGATCACTGAGCAGGCTGCCGACGGTATGCGCGGCCTGCTCCATGTCCTTCCCCTCCATCGCGCCGAGCTCGCCCTGGATATGCACCAGCGCAGGATCGCCGATGGGGAGCCCCTCGACCGAGAGCGCGTCGATAAACAGGCGCAGCCCGCCTGGCGTGGGGACGCGCCCTGCCGATGTGTGCGGTTGACGCAGGAGCCCCTGCGCCTCGAGATCTCCCATCACATTGCGGATCGTCGCGGAGCTGACATCGACCACGCCGCTGCGAGCGATGTGCGAGCTGCTCACAGGCTCACCGTTCGAGACGTAGCTGCGGATGACCTGAAATAAGACCGACTGTTGCCTGGCGTTAAGCATCGCTTCTTTTCTCGACCTCGCTCGAGTCTTGTCACAAGCACGAACTCACTCGAGGAGGGAGCCCTGCTCCCATCCTCTTCGGATCGCTCATGAATCTACCAACCTGCACCGGCTCAAGGCAAGCGAGCACGCGCGCGCTCATTCTGCCTGCGCGGCGGCCTGCTCGGAGAGTCGGATGAGGTTGCGGCTCTCGGGATCAAACCACATCACCAGGACGCCTGGCGTGACGATGACGACAAATTGCAGCACGTGCACCGTGGCCGCCAGCGCGGCGACCTGCGCGCCAAAGACCTCGAGCACCACGAAGAGCCCGAGCGCGCGGGAGAAGAAGAACTCGAAGTTGCCCGCCATCGCTGGCCCCGCCGGGATCATGATCCCGATCACGAGCAAGGCAAGCACCGTGGCCATATCCCAGAGGCTGACGTCGAGGCCAAAACCATACCGCGCGAGCAACCACATCGAGACGACGTTGCTCCCCCAGTAGAGCGCCGTCAGCGCCAGAAAACGCCCCAGCGAGCGCGCCTCGATGAGCGCGCGGAAGCCGTCGATGAAACCTTCGAGGAGCCCTGATAATTTCTCGGCCAACCCCTTGGAGATAAAACCGAAGACCTTCTCGACCATGCCGATGGTCCACGACTTGCTCCAGAGCGCGAGCAGGCAGGTCACCAGCGCGCCGATAAAGATCCCGGCGCTCAACGCGCCGGTGGTGTACGCGAACGTCGTGCTCTGCTCACCCGAGTACGTCGCCAACGTGACAAAGAGCAGGCCAGTGATAATGAGCCCGTCGATGACGCGCTCGACGACCGCCGTGCCGAGCACGGCGCTCATCGAAAACGGCGTTCGCCTCGAGAGCAGGTATGGCCGCACCAGCTCGCCAAGGCGCAAGGGGAGCAACAAAATCGCCGTGAACCCCACCACGCAGACGCGGTGGACGAGCTTGCCGTCGACCTCTCCGAGCGGGCGCACCAGATCATACCATCGCACGATCCTCGCGCCATGGCAGATGATATAGACCGCCACATAGATCGCGCCCCACGTGAGCAAGTGCGTGGTGTCCGCTTGCTCGAAGTAAGCCTCGAGCTGGTCTGTAGGCAATCCGCTCCAGGCCAGATAGAGGAAGAAGGCGCCGATGAGGTTGGCGATCAGGAAGGAGACAATAAAGCGGGTCACTATTCACCGAGTTCGCGCGAGATCTTGTCGCGGAGCGAGTCGAGCTCGCGATCCTCTTCCATCTTGCGGAAGCGACGCTCGACCTCGGAGAGGCGCGATCCGCCGCCAGCGCCACCGCCAGCACCCGAAGGTCCTCGGCCACCGCCGCCGGCGGCCTCCTTGAGCTTGGCCTTCTGGCGGCGCACATCCTGGAGCTCCTGCTGGAGCGGCTCGGCCTCGCGCAGGTAACCTCGAAGGATCCCTTCAGCCTCCTCGGCCAGATCCTCTTCATTCCATTCGCGCGCCAGATCGAGCCGGTTTCGCCAACGCTGCTGCTCCTTGCCGAGCTCGCCGAGCCTGCGATCGAGCTCGCGCTCGGCGAGGATAAGCTGCGCGAGCTGCTCCTTTGCCTCGGCCTTGGAGATGCCGACAAACTCGTTGGCGTCGCGACCGCCACCGCCACCAGAACCAGAACCTCCGGTGCTTCCGCCAGATGAAGAGCTCGACCCCGAGGAGTCCGAGGAGGAGCTACCGCCACCGCGCGAGCCTCCGATCGACTCGAACGGGCCACCAAAGCCCTTGCGCTCGTTGTTTCCGCCACCCTGATCAGAGCCAGCGTCGCCGCCCTGCTCTTCCTCGCCGCCGCCCGGGTTGTTCACCTGGCGCCACTCGGGGGCATGAATCAATGCTCTTGCCATCGCCTCGGCGACCTCTTTCGAGCCGCCGGGCAAGCCGATGCTGCCGGCGGCCTCGGCGTAACGTGCGAGGTTATCCTCGAGCAGGAAGCGCTCGACCTCGGCGCCGAGGCGGATCATATCCGAGACGTGGCGCCCGAGCTCGTGTCGCTCGAAGAAGGCCGCCTGAGCGCTCGCGTCACCGCCGTCTCCGACCATCATCACCGGCAAGCCGAGCGCGCTGATCTCGGGGATCATCGGATCGCTGGCGGTGGTGATGACCATATCGCCGACGGCGAGGTAGCGCTCGAGCTGATCGACTCGCCCGAACATCACGGCGTCGAAGCCGTGATCATTGGCCGCGCGGCGCAAGGTCGCCGCGGCGCTGTTATCACCGTTGTGGTGGAACAGGAAGCGCACGTTGCCTTCGACGAGCTTTGCCTGGAACATCATCTTCTCGAGCGAAGCGACGTCGAAGTTCTCCGCGCGCGCGATGACGAGCTTCTCCGAGTGAGAGAAGCCGAACTCATCGCGGAGCGCGCCCTTGTCGAGCTCCCTGGCAAAGCCAGGTTGCACCGCAGGACCGGCCACGAGCACGCGTTCGGCGGGGACCTGAGCGCGCACGAAGCGATCCGCGAGCTCCTCGTGCGGGACGATAAAGGCGTGCAGGCCGCTCTTGAGCCAGGCATCGTGGAGGTTGAAATCCGGCATGACGCCGACCTGCAGGGCAGGAATTCCGGTCAGCCCTTCGAGCACCGAGAGCGCGCGGACGTGGCGAGGATTGGTCACGGCCAGGAGATCTGGTTTAACGCGACGGACGGCGCCGATGAGATCCTCGTCGGAGTGTCCCTGCACGGCGACGCGGAGACCGCGAAGCAGACGCTCCGCGCTACCGGCGAGCGCGCCTCTGGCCATCGTCCCGATCACCTCGGAGATGGTCACGATCTCGGCGCGGGCGCCGCGCTCCTGAAGATGTCCCGCCACCGAAGCGAAGGCCTCGGCGCGCGCGGAGTGATCCACGAGAATCCAGACGAGTGAATCTTCTGGAATCGGTCCAAGCTCTTCGCGTTGCTCTTGCTGCTCGGTCTGCTCCTCGCTCACATTCGACTCCCGGGCTTGGGGGCAAAAGAAGGTTGCCCTGTTAAAGCGGTCGACGCGCTCGCCCTCATGCTCTGACCGCCGACCTGCCGCCCGAACCTGTAGAAAAGGGGGGGCACAGGACTGTCGAGTATTCGGGGAATGCGTGCGCGCGACCCTGGGTAAAAAAGATGGCCTGGAGCAATGCCCCAAAAAGAAACCTCTCGCGTTCAGGAGATCCTCGCCCCGTACACGTACACGAACAAAAGGGAGCAAGGATCGCCCAGGGTTGCCATCCGATGCCTTGTTGTACCAAGAGTGGATGGTTCACCCAAGAGAGAAGCGCAAGGATCTCTGGACAGAGAAGGCGCGGGGAGGGCTCAGTATTCGTAGAAGTTGTCGAGGAATTCCGCGATCTGGCTGACATCCATCGACTTGCAGAAATAGCCGTTGATGTCGTTCTCGATGCAAAACTCCTGGAGCTGCTCGGCCTCCTCGTCGCTAAACAGGACGATGACGAGGTCCTCGTAGTCCGGGGAGGCGCGCAATGTCTCGAGGAGTTCGGGGACATTGAGGCGAGGCATGTTCAAATCGAGGAGCAAGATCTCGGGGTTCTCATACTCGATCTTGGAGAGCGCGCCGTTTGGCGAAGAGAGAGTGACCACACCGTAGCCACCTTCCTTGAGGTATCCCTCGGCCTCCATAACATCGAGGATGTTATCATCCAGGATCATCACCTTTCGGATCGCATCCATCAAACTGCTCCTGCTCGCGAAATCTTCAGACGTCCTGGCATCCAAACACCAGAGACCGTCGCGCTGCCACACTTCATATACAAGCCGACGCGGCACTCTTGAAGAAGATTCTTCGAGCACTGCGCGTTCATGACTACAGATGAAGAGGTTTTGATCACCCTAAAATCAGGATAAACCTCGAAAAGTCAGCGGTCAATCGCCACGAACACTCCCCCACCGGGCTCTGACCGACACACGCTGACGTGATCCACATCGCCATGAAAGTGGCCGCCTGTCAAAAAACTCAAAAAAAAGACCCTGACTTCTTTATGGGAAGTCAGGGTCTTTTTCTTAGGAGGCCGCGACCGGATTCGAACCGGTGAATGGTGGTTTTGCAAACCACTGCCTTGGACCTCTTGGCTACGCGGCCATCTCCAGGGTCAATGGGTATATCCCCGAGCCCTGATGGTGTCAAGACGGTTTGTGAGGTTTTTGCCTACCTCTCCTCACGCGCCCCGTTCGGGCGCTCTCCGGCGAGCGGTCGTGGCAGACCTCGCGCTGGGTCGTGAGGTTTTTGTTTTTGGAGCCCGCGCGCCACCCGCGAAACGCAAACCTCCTTGCGACGCGTGGATACAGTGATAGAGTGCGTGCGGAGTTTGGCGCGTTGTTTTCTGCGCCGTGTGAACAAAGGGTTAGATGATGGGTTGGATTCTTGCTGGTCTGGTATTTCTGGTGGCCGCCATCGCGTTGTCTCAACAGCGCGCGAGCCACTCGAAGACCGTGCAATCCCTGCGCGAGATCAACGCGCGAAAGCTCGAGGAGCAGCAAACCGAAGCGTCTCACAAGATCGAGGAGCTCGAGAAACGACTCGGGAGGCTCAAGCGAGAACAGGAGACGACCGCCGCGCGCGCGCACCTGCCGCTGGCAAAGGAGCTCCTCTCGGGGCTCGATGACCTGGAGCGCGCCATCGAGCTCGCGAGACAAAAGGAAGAAGGCGCCGAGCAGCAGGATCTGACAAAGGGGCTCGAGATGGTCTCGACGAGCTTCCATAAGGCGCTCGCCAGGCATGGCATCACGCCGATTTCGCCTGAGAAGTCGAGCGAATTCGACCCCGCCATCCACGAAGCGATCACGGTCACCGAGGACGCCGAGCAACCGCACAACTCCGTCCATCAACTCCTGCGTACTGGCTGGCAACATGAAACCCAGCTGCTCCGTCCAGCGATGGTCCAGATCAGCCAGCAACCTGTCCACGAGGACTCCTTCGAGAAGACCATGCCCGAGATTCCCTCGAGCAAATCTCAGGAGGTCACCTTCTCTTTCGAGCAAGTCGAAGAGGAAGAGGCGGCGGCGAGCGCAGCATCGGATGATGTGGAGACCTCAGAAGAATCAGAGGAAGTGAAAGAGGTCGTCGAAGAGGTCGTCGAAGAGGTCGTCGAGCGAGGTTAGCCCGTGGCTCACTCCTCTTCGCCAGCGCCCATCTCGTCGTTCCTCGACGGCTCCTCGGCGCCCTGCTCTTCGATCGCATCATCGAGCTCTCGATCGCGATCCGCCTGCTCTTCTGGCTGCGAGTTGGCCTCTGTCGAGGCTTGCGTGAGCACGTGGGGCTCGATCATATCGATCGGGTTATCCTCGTCCTTGCCGCTGCCGGTGTCGGCGCGCACCGAGTACATGTCCATCTCGGCCAGCGCGTCCTGGTATTGAGACGTCTGGAGCGCCGAGATCGGCCCGCAGGATACCGCCCAGCGAATAAGCTCGTCCCCGAGAATCAACGCGTCCTCGATCAGGCGCTCGAGCTCGCTCTCGCGCACGACGTCATCGAGGCGAATGTAGAAGGCTTGATCGGTGAGTTGGAAGTCCTCCACGCGATCTCTGAGGCTGATCAGGAGCATGCGAAGCGGCCCGGTGATGAGCGCCTTGAGGCGATCATCATCCTTGGCCATCAGGATAAAGCGGCCATCGATCTCGGGGTCCGCGATCTCGGCCTCGTGCATACTGAGCAACCACCCTCGAAAACCCGCGCCCTCCTCGCACAGGATCTGGATGCCCTGGTGCAAGGGTTCGGTGAAGCTACAGATCAGGCGCGTATAATCGAGCCCATCGCCATCACAGAACTCGAGGTCGAGTGTGAGGTGCTCGCGCTCGACGCGAGTCCACATCGTTCGCGCGCGAAACAATGGACGCTCGCGAAGGGGGTAGAAGCCGATCTGTTGGAGTTGGTGATCCATCGCCTCGAGCGTGCTCGCTTCGATCAAGCTCCTGGCATCGACGCTGTAATAACGACGCCAGAGCATCCCCATCAACCAGATCAGAAAGGTCACGATGACCGCGACGATGATGAGGGGGATCAGTTTCATCGAATAAAGCTCACCGGAGTGGCATCAGGGGGTGGCGTTTGCGTCTGCACCGGGCTGGGCGTTGATCTCTTCGCTGACGCCGAGGCCGGGTTGCTCCTTCTTGAAGAGCACGCTGCCCGTCCCGGAGGGCTTCTCGAGCGAAGGCTCGCGAAGCTTGAAGCCGTTGGCGCCAGGCGTTGGCCTCGGGCGGCGAGGC